CCCAGGCTGGCCTTGAACTCGTGATCCTCCTGCCTCTGCCTCCTTCAAGCAAATCCTATCGGTGTACGGTGTGTGCCATCGCAACCGGCCCAGAAGAGTCGCTTATCATACTCAGCAACTCATGGGCATTTCAGAAACACGGAGAACCTAAACCGAGTGTCTCCTCACTTAAAACTCTGACCCACGAATCTGAAATGTGTCTGATGACAGTGACGATACTGTCCGATCATCAGTCTAACTTCTTTGGAGTCATTGCTTTCCTACATAGGAGTTAACAGAGCCCAAAAAGCATTGTGAAAACTCCACAGGGCTGTTTAAAGGCAGTGTCCACGTGAGGGTGAAGCCCAGATTTTCTGACTCCAAAGTCAAAAGCTCAGTCAATGTTTTGGTTGCTGGCCTGGAAAATCTAGGATGAAAGCTCGGACCTGCAGCTGAGCGCTCTCCTATGCTCTCGGGTCAGGCCCAGGGCCCCGGGTGGGTGGAGCCAGCCGCATGCCTATCTAACTGCGATCTCGAATAGGTAGGATTTGCGAAATGCTAGCTTTCAAGTCCTCTAGTCTCCACCCGAACATGATAATCGTAGCAGAAGTTTTGGCAACCGCGTGGACCCTCCCGAAGGGCAAGACCCGCAGTCTTTCTTCCGGGAGTTGGGACCGGGCCGGAGCTGGGTCAGGGCGGAGCGGAAACCGAACCCAGGGTCGGGGCTGCGGGGCGCGCGCGTGAGTCCCAGTCTCCCGAGTCGGAATCCTGGGGCAATCGAGCCCTGGGAGGTGTCCCGGTCCGGGAGGAATCCGCTGTCGCTTCAGCTCCCGTGGTGGTGAGAATGCAGGTCAAGGTAAAAAGTTGGGCCTGAAGATGTTTGCATTGGCCCCTTTCCACTGCTACTGCGGGGCTCCTGCACCGGATCTAGGTCCTGGAGAGTGACAGCGCCTCGCCCAGCGCTTGAGAGGCGCTGTGCCTGGCCGGGTGTCCTATAAGACAACCGGAGAACAAGCTGCCTGTCACCTTTACCGACTTTTCTTTACTTCCACACTTCGTGTGAGAAATAATATTATTTATTGTTCCCTATGTGAGCAGGCATAGTTCAGGCTTGCCACACACGTTGACTCTTTTCATCCTGGGCTGGCTGATAGGACACATACTTCGGTAGCCTGAACTGGCGTCTCTGCTCCATCACCACCTGCAACCCTGGGAATTTTGTTATTAGCTTCAGCTTTCACATTTGGAGCAACTGGAAACTATTTGAAGTCTAAGTGGGATGCGATATGCGATGTGGCCTTAGAATAATGCTTAGTGTGTTTGACTAGTTGCAAGAGGGTTCCTTTTCCTCCTGTACTGGGGATTGAGCCTGTGTCTTCTAGCATCCAAAGTCTCTACCACAGAGCTACATTTCCAGTCTATTCAGCATCTTCAGTAGCTGGGATAACAGGTCTGCACCATCAGGCCTGACTTAACTATTTCATCCTGACAATAATTCTATACAAATGGCATCACTCTTCCCCCAACCTCCTTCCTTTGCGGAGAAAATGAAACTGAGGGAGAAAAGTAGAATTGAGATTTGACGTCATGTCAAGGTATAGAGAAAGCAGGACTAATCTGGTTATACACTGCTGGTGATGGTTTTGTTCTACAGAACTGTATCACTCTTAACTGTTCAGGGAAAATGTATTCTTCAGTTTCTTTGTCCCTGTGTGCAAATTAAAAGGAAGCACTAGCATGTGGGTTGCCGAGGTGTGCCTGTGAGAGCCGATGACAGCTTTAGGAACTGGTTCTCTCCTTCCCCCGTGGAATCTGGGGCTAAATCTTCGTTTTCAGGCTTTCGCAACAAGTGATTTTATATACTTGATACATTGCCTCTTACGCTCCCATATGACTTCGATGCACTAATTTATTCTTTGCTGTGGCCTGCTCCACAACCAATATAGCATAGATATTTAGCTAGATTGGCATTTTGGGTTTAACTTGTGAGAATTTGCTTGGTTGTTTCTTATTTTTCATCAGGGGTTGTAACCATATATGATGAAACAAATTGTTTGGAATATCTATCTATCTATCTATCTATCTATCATCTATCATCTATTATATAATGCATAATGCACAAATTAAAACAATGGATATATTCTAAATATTTATTTATATTTAGGTTAGATATTTTATATTTATAAATATATATTTTATTTCATATATAAATATGTAATATATTTTATGATATATTTAATATGTATACATATAAATATCCATATCTTAATTTGTGCATTTATTATTCTTCACATAAAAGAATCCAGATTATATACATTGTACTGTTAACAGTTTCTAGGGGCAAAAATCTTTGCAAATACATATGGTGCTTTCTCAAATTAAGACCAAATATACAGCACTTCTCCCAACGATTATCATTGTTCTAGATTCATTCAGGCATCACAAGTTTGTGGAATATCCCTGTGTGACGAGCCCTCTCTCAGAACCTGGGAATGCAGGAATGTAGGTACATGACTTTTATGGGGAAAGGACAATGAGTTCAGCCTCAGCTATAGCTTTTTAACCTTTCCTATAGTGCACATGTCATATGTAACGGCCGTTTCTTTTGTAACGGCCGTCGGGTTCTGTTACTTTGTAAAGGCCGGCCGGTTCTGCTGCTCCGGTCGGCAGGTCAGGGTCTAGCAAGAGAGAGAGTGGGGACGGAGGAAGGGGAAAAAAGGGGCGAGAGACGCAAAAGATAGATACAAGACAGAGTCCGGTGGCGTCTCTTCAAGTCTTCTTCTTTATTCTCCTCTCTTCTTACTATATTCTCACTCCTTCAGTCTCCTGACACCTCTCACTTTCTCACTCCTTCCTCTACTTCCTACTTCCTACTACCTCCTACTACTCACTACCTCCTACTTTCTACCTCCTACTCCTCACTCCTCAATAGAAAGGAAATCCGGGTATTTATACCCTTTACCACGTGACTTGCCCTCGTGGACAATCTCAACTGAAGCCACTACGTCACGTGCCTTGTAGCCATGGATACCAGGAGCACCTGGCAGCTGGGGGCACTAAACAGTGTAACAAGATGTTTATCAGAGTGCGCTCAGCTATTGCAGGCTGTTGAAACAAGTCTCTTGTCAGGGTATATGGCTCAAGATGGCTGTAAAGATGATAGCCACTTTCGGCTAAGAGTCGGCTCCCAACAGTCATACAGTCAAGCATCTCTCCCTTACTTCCCTCCCTATAAAGTAATAACTGTTAGCTTGTGTGCCGTCAGGCCTCAGAACCCCTGCCATGTAGAAAAAGACTTTCTGAATGAACAAACACTTTGATATGTGTATGTATGCAGAATATTTATAGCCTTGAAAAGGTAGGTACTTTTGACATTTTCTAGCAGATGAATGGGAATTGGGGCCATTATGTTAAGTGATATGAGCCAGTCATGAAAGACAAATATATGATTCCACTTATGAGCTATTTAAGAATGTTAAATTTATAAAAAATGAAATGGAGAGTGGTGATTTCCTGGGGTGGGGGTGGGGTGGGCAGCAAGATGGAGCTGTTGAGTGGGTCTAGAGCCCCAGCTTTGGAGCATAGAGGAGTTCCAGAGACGGCTGCAGAGTTACATGAATATGCGTATTGATCTTGAACCACATGCTTAGAAAATAGGATAGAAAATATTATATCATGTATCTTTTATCACAGTTAAACATAGAAACAGACCAGCTATTGTGGCCCATGCTTATAATCTAAGCACTCAGGAGAGAGAGGCAAGAGGATCATGAATGGAAGCCAGCCTGGGCTAACTTCAGCTATAGAGTGAGACCTAGTGTCAGAATTAAACAAACAACAAAGAAAAATGCTCATATAAACTACTGAATGAGGTTTTTTTTTCTAAACTTTGGATATGATTGTGTAGTCTGAATTCAGCTGGAGTTTTATTTTGAGCAGTATCCACAGATATTGGTAGGCAGGGGGTGATAGTTGAGCACCTTGGAAAATTTCCCATTGATTTGGGCAGCCCAGCACTTAACTCTTTCTCTCTGTCTTTCGATACAAGGTCTCACTAGGTAGATTACAGACCTGCCACTATGGAAACTTATTATCTTTACTCTTGATGAGTTTTGGCATTTCCATTTTTTTCTGTGGAAAAGGTTCTTGGTCATGGATCAGATAGGAAAGCTCTAAGACTATTTGAGAGTGTTGTAACCAGTTTCTAGCAGTGAGAAGCAATCATTTAATTTGCCTTGGAGCCTGGATGCTTTCTCAGGGTTTGGCCAGCAATTCCATCTGTCAAAGCCCTACAGTCCAGATGTGCAGATACACACATGGAGGCCAGGGGTCAAACTGAGGGGTTGTTCCTCAGGATGGTTCTCCTTATTTTGAGACAAGGCCTCCCACTAGGATCTGGTGTTTGCCTCATTGGGCTATGTTGGCTAGTTTGGGAGCCCAGGGCACTTCCTGTCTCTACCTCCCTCCGAGTGTTGAGATAACAAGTCTGTACCACTGTCTAACTTCTTCTGTGAGGCTTAGAGATCAAACTCAGATCTTGTGCTTCCACAAATACTGCCTACTGAGCCAAAGTTCCGGCTCCCTACAATCCATTGTGACTGGGAAAGATGCTTATTCAGAGCACAGCAAGGTGCCTGCCAAGATGTGGTGGCATCCCATTTCCCAGATGACCTTAGGTATGTAGTCCCTGGAAGCCTGGAATGGTTGGCACCATGGAGAACCACCTAGCAGAAGACATTGCCATTCTTTGCCTCCTGCTGGCTCCAGATCTTCTGGAAATAGCCCAGAGCCAGGTGGGCATCAGATATGCCAGGTTTGTTTTTTTTTTTTAACTGCAGTGTTTTGAATGGTAAGATTAATCTCATGAATTTGTTTTTTGTTGTCTTGGTCTTTTTTTTGTTTTTTAAATGTCTGCCCCATCCTTAAACTGGGTGAGGACATTACATGGAATTTCATTTTGCCTGACTCAAAGCCTAGGTCATTGAAGAGTTATAGTTCCCCAAAGTGCTTATCTTACTTGGCCAGTTATGGACTAGTAGCTTCTTATGAATGGCCTTTATATTAGACAGGGTTCTCTAGAGTCACATACTTATGGAATGTCTCTATAGATTAAGGGAATTTATTGTAATGACTTACAGCTTGCAGTCTAACTCAACAATGGGCAGCTGTGGATGGGAAGTTCAAGAATCCAGTAGCTGCCCGGTCCCATGAGACTGGGTGTCTCAGCTGGTCTGTATAAGAGTCCTGAAGAAGTAGGCTCCAACAGATGTGCTGGCAAGTAAGTGCAAGTAGACGAAGAAGAGTGAGCCTTCCTTCTCCCATCATGCTTCCGTAGGTCTCCAGTAGAAGGTACTGCCCAGATTAAAGGTATATGCCACCATACTTGGATTTGAAACTTGTTCTGCCCCAGGCTGGTCTTGAACTCAGAGATCTGCTTGCCTTAGTCTCCTGGGATTAAAGGCATACTACCTTACTTGGGCCTAAGCTATTCCTGGCCACTATGTCTCAAGATCTAGATCAAAATCATGTGCCATCCCATGTCAAGATCCAGTCAGAAGCCTGTGTCTTCCAGCCTCAATATAAGGATTACAGGTGTGCCCTCTATTTTTGGATTGTAGTTCATTCCAGATGTCGTCAAGTTGACAACCTGGAATAGCCATTATAGTCTTTTTTTTTTTTAACTTAAGCAAACAGCTGACCTAGGAAGCAAAGATCTTGCTGATAAATAAGTACTTTCTATAGCAGATGTGTTAAGAGACCATGGAGAAGCCTTGTGTTTAAGTTTGTCATTCTTTTCACTCTCCTTAGGGTTGGGAGATGCTGACATCTGGCTTGGGAGGACCAGCTCAAGCTGCC